AGGGTACTCCATCGACGGGAGCTAATTACATTAGAACTCTGAATTATCTTTTCGTCCGATACGGAAACGTTGAGACCATCGCAATAGAAATCTTCACGCAACTACTCGAATTGCCAAAACTTAACAAGTTCGCAGACAACAAACAGTTGAGGGCGCACCTTGATAAAGTTAATGGGTTCATACTATCTCTCAAAACCATGCAATTGAAATCAATCCACTTTGCTGTGTTTCTTTATCCGATCCTGCTCCGAAAGTTGCCAGACCGACTTGCGCATCGTTTCATAGAGAAAATCGAACCGCAGAAAACAGCCGATGAGGTTGAAGATGTCCTCAGAGAGACAGACCTTGAAACTGTCAAGCTCGCAGAGCTTTTCCAGACGCGATTAGATACGTTGCGAAATTTTCTTAAGAAAGAAACCGAAACAGGAGATCAATACGGTGCAATATTCGGAAAGGTGGCGTGGAGGAGTAGGTCGGAGTCAGGCTTTCGATCAAGAGACGAGTCAGCCCCAGAGTCGAAAGTAAGCAAACCAAAGGAAACCCCTGCCAATCCGCCCTCCTCAAAGTCCAAGTTTGCATGTCCATATTGCAAGGAGCCTCATGTCCCCGCGAAGTGCAAAGCTGAGTTATCAATCGAACTGAAGAAACAAAAGCTCGCGAGAGCCGGCTTCTGCTCGAAGTGTCTCAGAAGCGGGCATTTAGAAGATAAATGTTCCTCACAAATACAGTGCATTAAATGCAAGGGAGACCATCATGGTTCGTTGTGTGCCAACGTGAGGTCAGCAGTTGTCGCTCAGAGCAACCAGGCTGAAACGTTGGCAGCAGTCGGCCACCTAATGCTCCTTGGTCCGGACGGTTCTCAGCGAGTGCGATTCTTGTTGGACAGCGGTGCGAATACAACTTTCATTACAGAAGAGTACGCAGAGCTCCTCAACCTAGAGGTAGTCGGTTCAGACAAATTTCTGTTGCACAGATTCGGAGAGCAAGTCTCACAGTCGAGCGAATGCAGAATCGTTCGGTTCGGAGTTCTGACGAGCGACAATCGAGCGCTGCAGTTCACTGCGCTGGTTGTACCGGAAATATCAAATTTAGAACCGAAGCCGCTGTCCGGGGAGATTCGCGCTCGCCTCCAAAATCCATCCGATCATCCAAAGGGTCCGAGGAAGCTCGGAATTCTATTCAGCTTCAGCGATATGGTTCAAATTATCAAAGGTGGCTTCAAAAAGCTCACGGAGAGCGTGTCCTATCTCGACACAATCTTCGGACAAGTTCCAGTGAGCGAAAACAAGCCTGCCTCCGATTCAGGGGCAGCTTTCCCCGTAAACATTGAAAAGTTTTGGGAACTCGAGCACATCGGAATCCTACCGGAGGAGCACACTGTTGATGGAAAAATCTCGGAGACTTTCATTCAAGACTTTCTAAAAACCGTTGAATTTAAGGACGGAATGTACAGCACGATTCTCAACCTGGACTCAAGAAAACTTGAGTATCTCACAGATAACTTCCCAGCAGCGAAGCAACAAGCTCACAAGCTGCTGAAATCATTGGATCAAAAGCCGAGTCTCCGAGAAGAGTACATCAAACAGATGAATGTGTTTTTCGATTCTGGTTACGCCGAGCCGGTGCCCCTGGGGGAAAAACCTAGGTATTTCATGCCACACTTCCCGGTGGTCAATGAATCCAAGGTATCCTACAAGGTCCGACCGGTATTCAATGCGTCGTCAAAGATGAAAGGTCAACTCTCCCTCAACGATGTCATTCTCGAGGTTCCAAATTTGCTTCCAACTTCTGTCGAAATGTTGTCCAAGTTTAGAGTCCGTGAGATCGCGTTCGTCGGTGATATCACGAAGGCGTACCTCACGATCGGCGTAAAACCGGAGATGAGAAATTTCCAGTGTTTCCTGTGGTCCAGAAACGGAGACGCTTCGAATCTCAAAGTGTACCGCATGAATCGAAACTGTTTTGGCGTCAAGGACGCTCAGTTCAACGTCATCTCAGTTATCCGAATGCATGCAAACAATTTCCAAAACTCCCACCCGGGAGCATCCAAGGCATTGATGGAGGACCTCTACATGGACGACCTCGTAACGGGGGCTGACTCCATTGAAGAAGCGAGGGAAATCCAGTCCGATATCTCCTACATTCTTGGTAAGGCTGCCATGGTAATGCGAAAATGGCGTTTTTCGGAGGAAAGCTGCGATGACAACTCACAGGTCATTCTCGGGTCGCAGATGCCAGAAAAAGTGCTCGGTGTTGTTTGGAACAACGAAACCGACGCTCTGACATTCGATCCCGCAAACTTGATCGAGTTCGTCGCCGCCGCCAAACCAACGAAGCGAACACTGCTGGGTGCGGCCGCAAGGTTGTATGATCCGACAGGCTTCCTTTCACCTTTCGTGATGCAGATAAAATTGTTGATTCAGAAGGTTCATCTCCAAAAACTGGGTCTCGATAAAGCCTTTCAAGGCGAAATTCTCGACGGTTGGAAAAAGTGGTGTGATCAGCTTCCATTCATCAGTAGGTTCCAAATTCCAAGGTGTTTCACGAAGGGATTCAGAGCTGTGAAACTGGAGCTGCACACATTCGCCGACGCGAGCGATTCGGCGTACGCCGCCGTAGTCTATCTCAAGTCGTGGAATCCAAACTCGGATGAGCGCGCTGTCGTGCTCGTAGCTTCGAAGGCTCGAATGACGCCTCTCAAATCTCTAAGCTCTCTAACGATTCCAAAGAAGGAGCTTGTGGCGGCTATGTGTGCGGCGCGGCTGGCAGCATCCATAAAAAAGTTCCTGAATCTAAGTTGTGAGACGTTCTACTGGACGGACTCTATGAATGTCTACTATTGGATCAGAAGAGACTGTCCATTGAAGTATGAGGTGTTCGTTCGGAACAGGCTAATTGAGATTTCCAAGTTGACAAAACCGTTGGAATGGCGGCATGTCCCCGGAGTCGAGAATCCGGCAGACTATCCGTCACGCGGCATGTCAATGGAGAAACTACTCAAGGAACCGTCCTGGCTCAACGGACCCGCTTTTCTAAAATCAGAAATCTATCCCGAAGTCCATTCCACAGAGGTAGAAGTGTTTGTTGCAACGGCAACTCAGGTCGAGGTCAAGGAAAAGAATTCGGTCATTCCAATCGAAAGATACTCCACGCTAAGAAGAGCGATCAGGGTAACGGCGACGATTTTTCGAGCTATAGCGATCTTCCAGCTCCGCTGGTATCAAAAAAATGCCAGGACAAGGAAGTCCAAAGAATTGGCTTCTCAGAAAGTCAAATTGTTCGGCAAAGGTGTTCCGTCAGACTCCATAACGCGCCGGCCGATAACGGCACTCGAGCTCAAATTGGCGAAGCAACCCCTTCACGGGAGGCGCAACAGCGTTGCTTCCGGGAGGTAGCCTTGAGTCGGAGTGTCGCGGAGAGTCAGGCGCTCACTAGCCTTGGTGCGTATTTCGATTCTGCCGACTTGTTACGTCTGGGGGGAAGATTGGAGAACTTCGAGGGAGATGAGGCGTTGAAACACCCAATCGTGCTGTCGGAAGACTGGTTCACGACGCTGGTGATACGAGATCTCCACGAAAACCAACTTTCTCACCTTCGTACTGACATGGTTCTGGCGAATCTCCGACAGGAATTTTGGATTCTCCAAGCTAGGCGCCAGGTCAAAAAAGTAATCGGTCGTTGCGTGAGATGCAAAAGGTATACGGCCAAACCGTCCGGGGCTCCGCAGGCTCCACTACCGGCCCCCGAACAGAATCGGGTGGGTGCTCAGGAACGTTGGGATCGATTACCTTGGCCCCTTCGAAATCCGCAGTGGGAAAGTGTGGATCTGTCTTTCACATGTTCTGTTACTCGAGGTGTCCTACTTTGAGGTCGTCGAAGACTATTCAGCCGAGGCATTCCTGCAGGCTCTGAAACGATTCGTTGCCACGCGCGGTTTGCCGGCCAGAATAATCTCAGACAATGGTTCCAATTTCGTGCGCTCGGCGAGGGGTTTGAGATGCCTCTGGGAAAACCTTCGGTCAGCTCAGGTCCAGGAGTTCATGAGCGTTCGAGGCTTCCAGTGGTCCTTTAATGTTCCCCGAGCAGCGTGGTGGGGAGGACAGTTTGAAAGATTGGTTCGGGTGACTAAAGATTGCATGCGCAAGACGCTCAACGGGGCTGTGCTCTCTCTATTCGGTTTCATGACAGCGATCAAGGAAATTGAAGCAATTATAAATTCGAGACCTCTAACCGTCTTACCAGACAATCCCTCCCTTCCGGAAGCGCTGACACCTGCTCATTTCATCACCGGTGCAAACTCACTCAGTCTCCCCAAGGGCTCCGTAAAGTCCAAGGGCGAAAAAGACGACAGACTGACAAGATTTTGGCGTATTCGAGAAAAGTTGCTAAACGATTTCTGGATGAGATGGAGGAATGAATATTTTTTAATGTTGAGATCTGCCCATGAAAAGGGACGCGTTCGAGACAGCTCGCCGCTCGCCCTCGATGACATCGTTTTGATACATGAACCGAAATTAGAACGTGCTCGATGGAGGTTAGGCAGAGTGGTTGAACTCCACCGGGCAAGGACAAGGTTGTAAGATCATGCAGAGTCAAGACGCAGAATGGGATTCTAACAAGAGCGTTGCAACATATCTACAGGCTGATCTGAATCAGTACCTGATCTGTATCGATACTCGAATGTTATATGCCCATGTTAATCAACATACTTGGGAAGCAATATGTGAAGTTATACCTTTGTTATACTCTGATAGAGTTGTTATGAATTATACTATGATGTCTAAAGTCGCGAGCACTAATAGGTCATCCGAAAACGGCTAACCCCGGGAGATTGTTACCAACGCCCGCGACTCTTCCAGAAGGTCCCACGAGGAGACCTTTAGAAATCAGACGAATGCTGTGTTTACAATAAAGCAGTCAGTAAAAACGCTGATGCCGGCCGTAGCCGCATACTGGAGACTGGACTTGTTTTCTCTTCATTTAATGTGCACGCACCATTGACAACAGGCACCTCGTCTATCACGCCGCCGAATTTCGCTCGAGACGATCAGGAATGAACATAATGGATATCAGTGAATGCAGATTCTTCTCCATGTTCATCATGAAAGATCGCAAGAGGAGTTCCTGATTGGCCGGGGGCTACGGTTAGATGCTTGTATTCGTTCCAGATTAGTGATTGCTGCCGCGACATCAAGTGGAATGGTGCCTATACATTTGCGCGCAAGTCAACTTGCGCGCAGCGTCGATTTGAGCGCAGGTACAACTAGCGCGTACCTCCGAATTGAGCGCGGTACCGATATGAGCGCAGATACGATTTGCGAGGAATAGTCAGGAATTAGATGTTGATGCGGGCAGTATGTAGAAGAAGAACAAAAAATTAATCATGTGAACTTCAAACTCCATTCGACTGAACGTCGATTAATTAGTTTAAGAAAATTCCGATGATCTATGTCAGACTATCACAGACTATCGCACAAGCTTTTTTTCTGTAAGGACTAAGACTATTCCAGGACTAAAAGACACATCGATCCTCACAATTTTATATTGTGTGCAATGGCCTTCAAATATTCCAACCTCGGACGATTGGTATAGGATCCGACGACCTCTGCCAGTCGTTTCGTTCGATCTCGATAAAACTTCCTCGGTTTGCTGGTACGTCCTTGAGCAAGAGAATTCGTTACCGTGAATTCTGTTTTAGCTTGCTCCGCTCACAGGCATTTCAAAGGCTTAGGCAGGGTTGGGTGCTGGGCGCCTTAACTCAGAAAATGTTACCTAAAAGAACTCAATGAACTCAGATCCTCCCGCCACGGTATACTCCAACGTTGTTGAGTCTGTCGTCACCATCGCGGTTGGCGGGCAGGTAACTTCCCGTTTTTCGCAAGATCATGAGTGCTCATGACTAGTCTATAGCCGGGAGGTAGCGCAAAATAACAGTTGGTTTCACCGTTCAATATGTGATTATCGTGTTCGAGCTATTCCGAATAAATTAAGTGACGCTCCGTCTTTTTGCTGGCCTTCACATCTAAACCATTTCTCCCCGAAAGTCTCAACGAATCATCTATCCGCCAAACCGCGGTGCGCGCAAATCGTATCTGCGCTCATATCGGTACCGCGCTAAATTCGGAGGTACGCGCTAATCGGAGCTGCGCTCAAATTGGAGGTGCGCGCTGATCGAAGCTACGCTCAAATTGGAGGTGCGCGCTAGTTGTACCTGCGCTCAAATCGACGCTGCGCGCAAGTTGACTTGCGCGCAAATGTATAGGCACCACAAATAAGGAGGCTTCGAAAAGACTCAGGGACTCATAGAATCCTTGGGCTGATTATCAATATTCCCATCGACGTACCGAAGCTCATCTCGAGTTTGCCTAGGAGTTCAGCGGATGATCAGACTTTTAATGTTTCTTTGAAGAGAAACGTGATTCACAAAAGCTCTGTGTGTTCTGGATCGGTGCCATCGGCAAACTCGAGATGAGCTTCGGTACGTCGATGGGAATATTGATAATCAGCCCAAGGATTCTATGAGTCCCTGAGTCTTTTCGAAGCCTCCTTATTTGTACGAATGGAATCCTCGGGCTAATTAAGCGCCGAGTTATGGCATTCGAAGGTGGCGAATTCGGGTGTTCAGGAGGATGATGAAAACCATGGTATATCGCGAAAGTAGGGATTCGATTCTTAGACAATGACGCTGAGCAAGTTTGGCAAAACAATGTGTCAGGTCGATTGCAACCTATTCGATCTCAGAGAAGAGCTTGAGCACTTTCGGTTCGCGAAGTAAGTTTCGAAACCATTATCGATCGCAGACCGTACAAACATGACCGAATTCTTGGCTGAGGAATTTTTCGATGAAAACCCTAGTCTCTTTCAAATCAGTCGATTAAGTTGACCATTGGGAATTGTGATTTGATGCGTCGATTCCATCAGGTTGAGAGGTTGGCGATACGGGGTTATGATTCGATATCGTCTCAGGAATAGATGAGAGAATTTCGTGATGTAATAATATGTCACGGGAGGTGAAACCATGAGTGTCAATCATGCGAGGAGCCCGCTTATTAGGATCTAGGATTATATCTGGATTGAGATAAAATGGTATCATCTCACCGACAGGAGTTCTCGAACTCGATGAGACCACTTGATCTAACGGTGTTCGAATCTTGATGGAACTCTTTTTCGGTCTCTTTGAAACTTTCTTCAAACTCTTGCGGGGTTGATCTCTAACGCGTTTTCGACGTGCAGGGTCAGAAGTATCCTGGGAACGCGAGCGCGAGCCTTCCGAGCTTGCGCTCGCTTTTCTCGTACAGACTTGTAGAGATTGGACCAGAAGAGCGAGTCTTTGGCAACGAAGTCAGGCAACGATCTTCACGTATTCTCATCGACTCCGTCTGATGATGCTTCGTCACCGTAGAGACGCCGTACCGTCCCAAACTCTCATCAAGAAGCCCTACGACGCCTTAGAGCAGGGTTTCCCAACAGGGGTCCCGCGGAACCCTAGGGTTCCGCCACGAGATTTTCGGGGTTCCGTGGCGAAGTTTTTTGCGGAACCCTTGGGTTCCGTAAGCGAATTCCCAGAGCTCCAGCGGACAGATACTCGGTTCAATTATCAAGCATTAATGCAATAATTCATCAAACTTTCAAGCCGAATGCGCTGTTCTTGAAAAATGCCGCTCCAGAAGACAAACAAACCACCGTAGGACACGGCCCCCAAGCGCGGGATTTCGAATGCAGTTTTCAAACAGAGGGGACATTATCGAAGAGATTCTCGTTCGGAATTCGGTGACCCGTGGAATCGTGAAAATCTATCCATCACAAAGGAGCACTGCGCGTCGTTGTGTCTTTTGTCAGCACTTGTCGGTGTGAGACGGGATTCTCGGTATACACGGCAACTCAGACCAAATACAGAAGTCGCTTGGATGCGGAGAACGATATGAGAGTCCAACTGTCTGACAGGTTGCCGGATTTCGGGGAAATTTCGGAAAAAAGGCAACACCAACGTTCGCATTGATCCCTAATATATATCCTCACGCGTCGTGAGATACATATGTGTAAATACATGAGCCAAGGGCTCCGCACAACTGAATAAGTTATGTCCTCATGGAAACGTGCCTCGGGTGTCATTTCTTCTATGCGAAACCGCGATGTAGTGTGAAAGAAACGATGAATGATGAATTGAGGGTTCCGCGGGAGGATTCGCGGAACCCTTGAGGGGTTCCGGGAGAAGCTTTTCGGAACCCTCCGGGGTTCCCTGGTCCGAGAAAGGTTGGGAAACCCTGCCTTAGAGCACCCCATGGGCTACAGAGACACATTTGTTCCAGATACACAATAAACACACATGAGTATAATAAAAGCGCAATGAATCTCTGACTCCTGAATTCAGAGCTGAATGATCTAGCTGACTCAC